GGGTGAAATAAGTTCATTCAGCAAGCATAGTACAAATGGAGATATATTGTCTCACACGAGGGTAACAAGCAAAATGTTGAGCAGAACCATCAGGAAACCAAGTGGGGGCAAGTGTTCATTACAGAGTTGTTGATTAAGATATTATGCTTACAGAAAGAAGGTCGATTCCAGCCAGTTCAAGGCTTGGGACCACTGTTGCTAGATCCTGCACATCAGATATCGAACAAAGTCCTTTTGGTTGATCTAAACGTTATTAATAAACATTCAGGACCAGAAAAATACAAGATTTCATACCTTAGGAGGCCACTTTGGAAAAGCAGACTTGAAGTCAGGCAAGGAAGTAACACCTGGCCATGTATCTTCATTTGGAGTGCCCAAAACTCTTCAAGATTAAATGCATGAACAATAAAGAAGTTAAAACTATGTAAGCTTCTAGCACAACAAAATGGTGAATATATATCACGCAATCATGTTACTATAAAAACCTGAATATTTTGAACAGTTCATCGATCTCAGAATCTCCAGGGAACAGAGGTCGCTGGTTCACCATTTCTGCAAAAATACAACCCACTGACCACACATCTACAGGAGTAGAGTATTGGCGAGAGCCCAAAAGAATTTCAGGCGCCCTATACCACAATGTGACCACCTGAGAGGAGCTCAACGTAAGTTACTCATACATGATATGTGCATGCAAATTTATCATAAGCCTAACAGTCCAAGAAAATTGTCTTAAGAGGATCAAAGAATCCAACCAAACTTTTGTACATATGTAGCAGTTTAAGTTTCCTACTCCCCTTCATGAAAGAATTCAAAAAAAAAAAATGCTAGCAAATTTAACATTAATCACAACTTATAAACATCATAAAAAGTGAAGCATAATGATTACCACGGTACCTCATGAGTAAATGTTCGGACTGGAATGCCAAATGCCCTGGCCAATCCGAAGTCTGCAAGCTTTAAAGAATTAGTTCGCCGATCTATCAACAAATTCTGAGGTTTCAAATCCCGATGAAGGACCCTGTGTGAGTGACAATAAGCAATGCCACGGAGAATTTGATAGAGGAATGTCTGCAAAAGGTCAAGAAAGCATAGTTAGCCCATGGAAGCTGTGCATATAGTTAGTCCATATAGTGTTTTACAAACAATCATCAAGTCATATAAGGGTACTGCAGATAGTAGTAACAATCATCAAGTCATATAGTGTTTTACAAACAATCATCAAAGTCATATAAGGGTACTGCAGACAGTAGACTCAGTAGTAACAAAACAGGGTCCCTATGTAATGACTATGGGAAGGACCTGTGGGACCCAGTAGCCATTCACACGTCCAATGATAATCCAAACAATAGACCACTAAGAGCCCAAAAAATGTCAACAAAATAAAAATAAAAAACATTACTAGGATGGTTGGATCATCTTGGTTCTGACTTTTATAAGGGCTTTAATGAAATTCCTAATGCAAAATTCTGGATATTTTTCCTCCATCAAGACTCTATCACTCTTGGACAATGCTGATAAATTTCCATATTGCATGAGCTACAACTATGTGACCCACAAATTCCATCACCCATGACCTGCACTTTAACTTTATTCAGAACAGCTCGCTTTCTTCCCGTAAGTTATTTGTTAGGATTTGGAATTAACTTAAATGGGTACGTAACTCAAATCTGACCTGTAATAAAAATTGTATATTAACTTATGTACCAATGTCAGGAAATCCCTAGGAATATGAAAGTGGTTAACTTAACAAACCAGATAGTCCAGGACAGAAGTGAATGGAAGAATAGGATTCATATAGCCGACCCCAAAAATTGGGACAAAAATTGTTGCTGTTGTTGTTGTCATTGTCCCATAAAATCCACAAAAGTTGTCATCCTTGGACATAGGAACTAATGTATGTGACTTCCAAGAAACAAATGACGGATGCTGCTAGTGCATTCACAGTTATATCTAGATGTACTCATAAAACAAGCCAAAAGGCTAGATCTATAAAAACTAATATCAGGGGTTTTACAAATTAATATAGGACACAAGTTCAAATGTACAGAGAACCTTACTTTTACTATATGGGGATCTTTAGCCAGATCGGGACAAGTATCCATATGCTTCTTGAGGTCCAAGTCGAGGTACTCAAATACAAGATATATCCGCTTTTCACTGTGGACAACGTCTTGTAACCTGTTATCCAAAAGAACAGTAAGCCAACTTAGATAATTAATAGCAACCGAGTAGTCAAGAGAAAATTGTAATTTCAGTGCCCATAAAACAAGAAAGGAAAAACACGGCAAACGAAAAAAGCAAACAGTATATATCAGGATATTATTCGATATTGGAATGTCTTTAAGTCCAGATTGACCCAGTCTGCATCCATCTAAATTATTTTATTGCTTATATAAATTACAACCATTAAGTCTACAATTAATTAACTGTCAGCAGGGTAAAAGGACAAAGTTTGCACCAACATAATTATTGGGTATGCTGCATGGAATTTGAGGATGGGAAGGAACTTGAGCACATGACTTCCAAAGAGAGATGCTTTAATTCCTAACTTGTTTCAAGAACACTTGTTACTACTGGGGCAACATTGATGTTTGCACAAGTACACTAGTTTTACGTAATATTTAACATATTGGCATGTCTCAGAAGAACAATATATGATTTACCTGATTGACCTGGGGATAATATGATAAAAGAAAAACCATATATTATAAACCAAACACATGCTCTGTGCAACCTGTTGAGTCAAATGTGGTAATGATAGAAACTGAGGTATAAGATTCTGGATAATCATGCCCTTGAGGAAAAGCATATCTGACTCTTATATTTGGCCATAAATTCATCAGTCAATAGTCCACAAGCATTGATAAATTTCTAATTCATTACCATTCTTCAAATTGAAAGAACATTGTGAAGATCCATGCAAAGTCCCTTTGATAAGGAATAGCAAGGGTAAACTCTAGAAGAAGCAGCCATCAACGCCTATATTATCAAAATCATACTGCTAATTCACTATAAACTATAAAAGTTTTACAGCAGGGCCTTCACTCGATTATATTTGCCTCAACCAGAATATACGCACCAAGTTAGATGACTGAGATGAGTTTGTGGGTGGTCATGAAGATTTGGTTAATTATTTTTAGAGCTTTCTCGATCTTGGAATAAAGGTCTAATGATTCAGGTTGATAATAAAAACACCTGAATAACAACAGTGATGCCTAAATGAAATACTTCTGACATGAAGAACATGAAGAAATTGCAGCTACAGGATTTTAAAAGGGAGACTCAACGATTAACAAATTACTCAGACTTCTTTGTGTTACTTATGAGGACACCCACACAATCTATTATGAATTTTCCTGATAATGAGTCAGACATATACTTAAAAAACATCTATAGAAAACTATTTAACTCTAGAAGGTTATTTGGACTGAGGGCTGTTCTCACAAAATTATTTATGATAACAACTACATGCATCAACAAGCACTCATCATCATCATGGTTCCAGGGAACAGTGGTCTATTAATGTGAGAGTATATACACGGATAACTTGGGGTCAGCATAAAAGCATGGAAAATTTGTCAAATTTAAAAATCTTAAGGAAGCATTGGTAGAACATAATAATAAGTTGGATACAAATATTGGATTACTGATCAAAAACTTTCCTTTAAACTTTGAAGATATCTAATATTTATTTCCAAATGAAAACAATTTAAGATTCGATAATAGATCTCAACATATTAGCATTTTCTAAATTATATGTGCTCTCAAATCCAAGGGCATTGTCAAAGAGAAAACATTTATTATGAACAGCCATCAGATGCTTTCAGATGCATTATTAATTGTTAAATGTGAAATTACAAACCATCAAATGCTTTCAGGTGCATCATTAATTGTTAAATGTGAAATTGCTAGGGCAAAAGAACAAAATAGCTCTTTCAACTATAGGAGGCATCAATCACTCTCTCAGGCAAGTGGGGGGTTGAAAGTTGAAACGAAGATCAAGCTCAGAATACCAATGAACTGGCCAATAAGTAATACATAGACAAAATTAAATAAGCAGTGTGAGTAGAAGGATAAGTTTCAACAAGCTTACAAAGCAATAGGAATCAAGCACATCACAAACAAAGCCCTCAATTTTGTTTCTAAAAGTTTGTTTGTGACGACAATACCCCCCTCCCCCCTTGCACTGAGGCTAGGTTCTTGGAAAATGTTTGTCTTTGACCCACAATATAAAGTACCAAGTAGACAAGAGTATGCAGACAAAGAGATCCGCATTAAACATACTTGATATGCTTGGTACGGAGATCAGATCTTTCTGTTGTCAATTGAGATGGTTAGTTGATATGCAGGAACCTTTAATATATTTTGCATTAAATTTTTCATATCAACAAATGGAGGCTAAAACATGTCGAGTCTTTCATATTAAGACTTATGCACGTACTGTACACTGTGTATGACAGCATGAACTAACTTGTAGTCCAAATCCCTACACCAAAAAAAATATATTACATGTTATCTCACTTAAACAAAATAGATCCAAGATGCATATACGTTATGCATATATTGTATCCTCTCCGTCCAGCAAAAGTACACATATTGCACCATGCAAACCCTATGGCTACTGCTAATTCCATTGACTCCATACGCATTGATAAACGGCGTAAAGGAGCATAATATTTAAGCTACATATTAGATAATGAAATGATTACTGAGGGCACAGAAGCAAGATAGGTTATGGTAGTTAAGACTCACATTTAATTTTTATCTTAATTATAGGTACGCACAATACAAATATTAAAATTAAATGTAACATTAGTGCATAATGATACCAATATTTCTATCAAAAAAAAAAGATCCCAATATTTTTTTTAAATTGCTTTTCCCGATCTCTTTCTGTCCGCATATTTGCTCACTTCTCAATTAACTATATTCTACCACGACATGAAGAAAAAAACTTCAAATAACATTTGTAGGCCAACTATTACTTGTAAGGATAAGATTAAATTGCAGAAAGTGCCAATTATCATGGTCAAGCAACAGCCCAACCAACAGGCAACATTCTTTTCAATAATTTCTGAATGGGCAGGCAATCAATGGGGGCTGAAGAGTGCCAGTTTCAAGGTCAAAATTATAGAAAAGGAATAAACTCTTATTCAATAATTCATGATGGACAGCCAATAGGCCCTGGAGTTTTCACTGAAACAGCAAGTTGCATCTCATGGGACAGCCAGTTTGATTAAGAAACATACCTCTACTAGTAGACATTAGCAATGACTCCAAAACCAACTTCAATCAACCAAGATTGGCAATATTTCATCAATCACTCTGAAACAAACAAAATGCAAAACCTAAGGCAGGTAGACAGAATGCATTGTCTGTGCTCAAACAATTCAGGAACCCAAGTGCAATAACTCCGCGCTATATTTGGTAAATAGAATTATGTCTACACTACTCTCTCAACCACCGTCATCACTATTTGAGCCCTATAACAGCTAATAGACAAACAAAACCATCAGACCACCGGTCGGGCCAAGAGCTTCATCTCCCTCACCCATTAGCATTCAATAATAAATGCAGTAATGAAGAGAAAATTTACAAGCTTCGATATAACATAACAAGTATCTATCAATATGTTAATATACATCCAGCAAAGTAAAGATCAACATTTACCCATTTTCTAATCATAGATTTAGCCAAAAAAAAAACACCAAATGTAATTATATCGACCTGACTATGTTCCCATGCTGCATTTCCTTGAGCAGCGAGATCTCTCTAATGGCAGTACTCGGAACTCCTTCATCTTCTTGCTCCAACCTTATCTTCTTCAGAGCTATAGTCTCGTTAGTGAGACGATCTCGAGCCTTGTAAACAACACCATAAGTCCCTTCCCCAATCTTCTCCACCTTCTCATACTGATTCAAAAGAAAATTCATCCACATTACCTCAAAAAATCCCCCAAAACAAAAAACAAAAAAATTCGCATTAATCCTCACCTGATCCATTCAATCAAAACTCTTGCTCCTGAAATCAAGAGATTCACCAAATAATCAGCAAAATCAACAACAAAAACACTGTAATTAACATCATTTCACGAGAAACCAAAGGATCTGAATCCCGATCCGAATCCGGATTCCGATCATCATTCCTATTGCTCAAAAACTCGAAGAAAAAAAAAGAGGGGGTGGGAAATCGTAGCCGGGCTCGCGATTGAGGATCGGATCGATCGGCGACAATCGTGTGCACGAGAATCGAGATACGAGGTCAACGAATGCACGAACCTCTGAAGTCTGAGCTTTTAGCTAGGGTTTTGACCAGCGAATTTGGAGGGAGCTTCGATTTCGTCTCTCTCTCTCTCTCTCTCTCTCTCTCCCCCCTCGTTTGAGGAGGCGCGGGAAGGAGAGAGCGGAGGCGATACCGCTGATCTCTACTTTCTCTCTCCTCCGCTTTCTCTCTCTACAGTCGTCGCTTTCAGTGGACTATCCATCCCCCTCTGTTTGCTTGTCTATATAGATGTTATTATCATTAATTTTATTATTATTATTATTATTATTATTATTATTGCTTATGTTAAAAAAAGGGAATAACCGCTAATTTGCGCATTTATTGCCTTAAAAAGGGCGGGATTAGGCGCCACTCAAAAAGATTTGGCCTTAACACTCGTGCGCTTATTCAGTGAGAAAATTATTTGGGAAAAAAAAAATGAAGCGAAGAAGCAGCAGCAGCCACTAAAAACGATATCAGAAGGACGTGAATGCCCGATCACGTGAGCCCTACGTCGTTCGGGGTTGTTACGATTACATGGGCCGAGGGCGTTGGTGGATAAGCCCGGCCCAGTAGATTTAAGTGGTCCTAGAGCAATAGCTCGCACTTCATTTGTTCACCCATTCCAAGCTTGGGCCGCTTGGGCGTAGAAGGGAAAGCCCATTATTGACAAACACTCCGATTATTATTTGCAAAGCTATTCGATTATGTTCAATTCGGCACCTCAATTGATAGTAAAGCAATACTTTGTAGTGCTTAACTTATAAACGAATAGAATTTAACCAGACACACGTTTAATTAGCTTAGGTCGTTATTTTTATATTTATTAAATAGTAGATTATATATCTTCAAAAAAAAATTAATTAGTTTAAATTGATGCATAAACTTGAATGGAAAAAGGTAATTCAGAAGAAAAAAAATTCCATAAATATGATATTTTAGATTGGGATTTGAATTTGAATATTTAACTTTTCAGCTGAATCTGAACTCGAATTCGAATATTTAATTTGACTCGTTCAGTTACTGCCCATAGGGTCCACACAGAGGATTGTTCTGTTTTCTTTTCTTTCTCTCTTTCTTTGTGTGTGTGTATATATCCCTTGTCAAAAAAATCTGTTACTAAATATATACCTTAAGGAAAAAACCCTTATCCTTAAAACCATCCCAGAGTTTGCCACGTCATCTTCTCTCTTCACAAATTAATTCACCACTTGTAATCAACCCCAAAACCACCTGTTTTTTTGAAATTAATCATGAATCGTCATCATAATATATATCATCATACATACAAAAATCAAATCATCTGTTACTAGCTAATATCCTTTATACTCAGAAAATATTGTTAACAAGTTGTTGGGATTAATAGTTCTCTCTCTCTACAATATGTTACTAGCTAATATTTTTTATATATCAAATATTGTTAACTAGTTGATATTGTTTTCTCTCTCTACGGTTCTACCTATCACCAATAGTATTTTTTTCCCCAATGAAAGAAGAAGAAAAAATCTTGCCAAAACTTCATAGCAAGATCATCATTGTAAAACCCCGTAAATTTAAATATTTTATGATAAATAATAATAAACATGTCATATGGTGAAAAATAACATATTTTAATGTTTGAGTATGATAAGAATTGATTTGAGATCAAATCAATGTATATTTGTGAAAATATGAGTGCAAATGCACAAAACATGCACAAAGGCCAAAAGAGTGAAAATCTGGGAATAATGATCAGTTGAGAGTTTTTATATTTTACACACGGATACAGTTAGAATTTGTAAAAGTGTAAAAGATCAAAGTTGTAGGTCTCTTCAACAGCTTTCCAACAAATCTTAGATCACCTCATTCCGAGGTCGGATAAGAAAGTTACAGCCAAAATACCGAATGTTATTTTTCCTAGTCAGACTAGGTTTCCTGGTTCGGGTCAAACAGGTTTGTTTCGGGTTTGCCTCTATAAATATCTGTGTTTTTTACAAAAATTCTTTTTTTTATCATATCTATGAACCCTAGCAGCCACCCTCTCCCCTCAAAAAACCCTAAACCTTTTTCTTATGAGTTTGGAGAGCTTTGTGAAGCAAAACACCGGCACGAGGGCGAGATCATTGACGTGTGGCGAGGGAGAACGGGTTGTTCATGCTTGTGGTTTGCTTGCTGATTGTTTTAGAGGCTTGCACATAAGATTAAGGCAAGATCACTTACATCCAAACTCATCCCCATAGTTAAATAACTAGCTTAGAAGTTTAATTTGTGTTTACATGCTTAGATCTTAATCTAATATGAAAAAGATTAGATTTTTGTTGTTAGATCTTAAACAAATATTAGATCTACATATTTTTCTTGCTGTTTATAATAAAAATATGATCATGATCATTAGGGTTGCTTTTAAATTTGTTTTTATCTTGTTAATCATGTGTTAATCATGTCTAAACCCTAATTTGACTTTTAATTGAGTTTGCATGTGGATTAAAGATGAGAAAACACTAGGTTTGTGATACCTAAGTGTTAAAATATGATTTAATGAATGATTATCTTTCCTAAGTTGATTGGCAATCATGCTTATGTTTAATATGTTAAAAGTCCATGCTTTAGATTGAAGAATTTAGTTAATCTAAAGAAAGAGGCTTGATTCGTTGTTTTGAGCCTTCATACATGTTTTAGGGTTTTGAATACAAATCTAATGCATAATATTATGTTTATAATTGTTGAGTTATTTCCAGATGTTCACATCTGCTGTGGCATGTTTGCATACAAATTTTATAAAGTTTTAGACATGTTTATATCGAGGAAACACGACGTGAACACGACATACACAAAGAGCATGAGAATCTGGAAACCGGGTCCACGGTCGACCACCAGGGTCGACCGCGTGCAGGACAGAGACCTGGGTAGTCTCTGGAGCCCATCGCGGCGGCTGCCAGGGCCGCCCGCCAGTCTGTTTCGGCTGTGCATGTTTATTTGAGTTGTTTTTGGTTGTTGAACGAATTTCTCGACCTTATGATGATAGACTATGATATTAGTGATTTGTTAAACACCTGGGATGATGGTGAGCTTCTGATGTGGATACGCACACCGAGATTAGTGCATGTATGCTAGATTGTGTTAGATTGACACACTTTCATCACGAGTTAAATTGATAAACACATATGAATAGTGTTGTTTTATACGTATCCGGAAATAGGGAGATAAAATCTATTTACCGCAGAACGATTAAGTAAGAATATTACAATAGTATCGTTATTACATGTATCCGGAATAGGGAGATAATAAAACCTATTTCCGCAAGACGATTGAGTAGGAAATTACAAAAGTATCATCATTCCATGTATTCGGGATAGGGAGATAAAGCCTATTGTTGCAGAGCGATTGAGTAAGAATATTACAAGAGTATCGTTATTGCATAAAGAGATGCACACATATATGTATTATCAATTATAGTTACTCCCATGTTAGATTACCCATGAGTAGGGTACATTCTTTGATTTGTGGCATACACGATATGACCTATGATGATTTTTTGAGTTGAACGATATTCTCTTATAATTGCGCCAACTACTTGAGAAGTAGTTCGAGATTGTAACATTGGTTCTATATAGTTGAGGCTTGGAGTATTTCTTTGAGTGTTGTTTCCATTCATAGAGTTGGTTTTGGTATTTTGGGATTTATAATTTGAGACGTATAGTATATATATGAGGGTTTCCTTGTTTGGATTATTTCGCTCGACGTACTACGTCTCGTCTTATAGGTGTCTAAACATTAACTCCATTAGATACGGGGAAAATGTTATAGGTAGACTATGCTTAATAGATAGAGCCTCCACTTCATCTAGCAGCCCTTCCCCTGGGGGCGGATGGAGGTGATCTTGCTGTAACGCTCTGACGCTCTTGTTGTTATTCTTTTTGTTTAAATTGTATCTTTTAAGCATATCAGAGTTTCGAAGAGCCGCAGGATGACGGAGTTCTAGCATAGTCGTCGTCGTACAGTTTTAGCAGTTGAAGCTCCACTATATAGTTATGTTCATTGTTCAGATTTTAGAGTTGTATTCATTTTTGTAGAGGCTGAGTGCCTTAGTGAGATTTCATTTGACTCATTGTATTAAGATGTATTTCTGACTCAAAGATATCTTTATTCTATTTCAGTTGGGCTCATTTGTTGATATACTTCTTATGTGCATATCTGATTTTGTACTACTATTATTATTTGCTTGTTTGTACCTTCACCTATTTGTTGTTTCCACTAGAGAGATAGTGACTGTGATGGTGAAACATGTCGTAGCATGGTGTTTGGTGCTTGGCAAGTTTGACAATCCGGGTTTCACCTTGGACTGCAGCATTGTGTGAACCTTGGGGCGTCAATACATTCCGAAAATACCCCTTCCCTTTATCTTCTTCTTCTCATCCTATGTGGCTTTTTCATCCTCCTCTCACTCTCCTCCCCCTTCTCCCCTTCCTCTATGGCTTCATCTTCTCCGCGGCCACCAACGCCGACGCCGATCTACTCTTCCTCAGCCTCCTCGAGCACGAAGATCTCCCGACGATCACCAACGCAGTCTCGTTTCGGTCGGATCTCAAGTGGAGGTCTGATCCAACGACATCAGGCTCCAAGGCTTGATCAAGGGGGCGATTGCTGGCGGAGGATGAGTAGTATCAAGTCTATTCCCATTTCAGGCATGGATGTTACTCAATTTGTAGGGGGTACAAGCTTCTTATGAACAAGTACAGACACGTGGTTCCTTGTGCTGGTCTTTAATATTGTGCTGATATTGAGGATGGACTTTAAATAAACATGATTGTTTTAATATTTTTATATGAACAAAGTCTAATATTATCTGGGACGATTGCTTTAAGACTTTAAACAGGCAAGTGGTTCCTAGTTTGTAGTAAGCTTCATTAGCCTCTTCAAGTTTTGGCTGCACAAATGTATTTGAGATCTGCACTTTTTTTGGTTGAAATCTTATTAACCCTGGGAAACCCTGAACAGCCAATAAAAGTTGATCCTATACTTGGGGAACATTAACATTTCAATTTTCTTAAAAATCAAGAAGCCTGAGTTTTTTGATATGGATAACCAATAAAAGTTTATTTGTTTTTCTGATCCTATACTTGGGAAACATTAACATTAATATTTTTATGTTAGTGATCCTATACTTGGGGAACATTAATATTTCAATTTTCCTAAAAACCAGGGAGCTTAAGTTTTTGATATGGATAACTAATAAAAGTGCA